TAGCTACAAATGTGCTCTAGAATGTCTCTTTACAGGTAAAAAACTCTTTTCTTTTGGTGAAAGCTTCCATATTCCTCTAGCGCATGCTCTCTCTCAGAAGTTTAAGGCCAGACAGAAAATAGTGTGTTTCCTGTAACTTGTTGGGGAGGGTACGTAATCAATTTCATTTTAAGAAATAACTTTATATGGGTTATATAGGAGAGTGATCTTGACTTTAACCGTGCTTCTTTGAAAATTAACTAAAAATCTTTTGGGTTAGACACTGAAAAATCAGGTAAGGTTAGGGTTACCGGAAACAAAATATTATATAGTTCTATCTTAGGTTTGGGTTGGATCAGTTCTCTATCTGCTGTAGAACGTAAAGTATAATTAGATGGAGGATGGACAAATAAATTCTTGAGGTATTTAGGTGTTAATCCATTAATTGATTTATATATCAGTACAGCTTTGTGATAATTCACCCTTTTATTAATTTCTAGCCTCTGTAGTTTCAAAAAGTGGTTTAGATGGTGCATCTGATGGTTCACTGAGGAAGATTCGTGCTGGTATTTTTTGTAATTTTAGCACTCTATCTAAGTTTTGTTTGGAACAATTTCCCCATATAGTTATACAGTAATCCAGTAGTGGCAAAATATAAGCATTATAGTACAGTATTCTGGTATTCTGAGGCAAATACTTCCTTATTTGAATAAGCAATGCTAACTTGGCTCCTAAAAGTTTGTGGCTTGAGACATTTTCAATAGGGATATTATTTATTTTGAAATTTAAGCAAGTGATTTCATATTTCATTCTAACATGGCTTTAGTTTTGTTTTCATTTAGCAGCATTTTGTTTTGTTCACACCATTTTTCTACATTATATAGGTCTTCAGCAAGTTTTGACTGTATAACTTGTAAATTAGGTCCAGAAACATGAAGTGTGGTGTCATCAGCAAAAAGATAACTTGCGATGATTGAGTATTAAAAGGGAGATCATTTATGAAAATTATAAAAAGTAATGGCCCTAGGACAGAACCTGGGACACCATTTTTAACATGCTATGCTTGATTTGGCACTTCCTATGCACACTTGTTGGCTTCTTTGCCTTAGATACGAGGTGAACCAACTGATGGAGCTTTCATCAAAGTTGTGAGGGCAGTTTGACAGGAGTGACCTGGACGGAAACCTGATTGTGCCTGGTTTAGGAGATCATTATTATTTAGATAGGTGTACAGTTGTTTTGCATCATGTCGTTCAAGTAATTTTGACAATGTTGGTAAAATTGATATGGGTCTATAATTTCCAGGGTCATTCGATCTTTGAACCATGTTTATAAATTGGTGTTACTTTTGCACATTTAAAGTGATTAGGATATACATTACTTGTAATACTTAAGTTGATAATATGCATAACTGATCTGGTGATAACTGGTACTGATATTTTTAAGAGACGAGGTCCAATGCCATCAAGTCCAGCTGCTTTGTTGGTGTTAAGAGATATTAATGCTTCATACACATCTAATTCTGATATGGGTTTCAAATTAAAAGGAGATCCATTTAATCTTATGGTATCGAAAAAGTACTCTTCGGGATTAGAGGTGTTTTCATTTATGCCTAACTTTTCTGAAAGTTCACTAAAGAATTGATTGAAAGTATTCACTATATCGGTTGTAGATGTTACTGTTTTGTTTTCAAATTGTAGTTGTGATGGTGGTGATATAGACTTTTTAGATTTCAGTTCATTCAAATACTTCCAAACCTGACTTGAAGTTTTGTTTTCTTCAATAGCTTGCTTATAAAAAGACTCTTTTGCTTTTGATATTAAACATGTAACTTTGTTTCTCCATAGTCGATAATTTGTCCAGTCTTTATTTCTATGATAAGAATCTCTCAGATGCCGGGCTTCATTGATTTCTGTTGTTAACCAACTTGGTTTTAATTGCTGCTTAACACGTTTTGTTTTTATGGGAGCATGCCTGTCTATAACTTTATTAAATAAGTGATACCATTTGTCAAGAGCTGTGTTAGGGTCAAGTTCGTACATTAAGTCATTAAAAGGTTCCCTTACAAGTTCATTTAGAAAGTGTTCCTCATTAAACTTCTTAAAATCTCTGTATATCATTTCAATATGGCTACTCTTTTTTGGAAGCTGGACTGATTGTCTAGTAACACATATTGGATAATGCTCACTGAAGGCATAATTTGGAACTTGAAATTCATATAGATTTTCTGGCCTGTTAGTATAAATGTGGTCAATTAATGTTTCTGAGGTTTCTGTGATTCTAGTAGCTTTAGATATAACTTGCTCAAAGTGATATAATTCAAAACAGTGTAACCATCTTTGTGGAGGTGATTTCAAATAATCTATGTTCAGGTCACCTGCAATAATTATTTCACTATTTTTGAAATCAGTGGCTTGCATCAGCTCTTTCTCAAAATGATCAATCCAGTCACTGTTAGAACTTGGAGGTCTATATACAGAGCATAGCAAGATAGGATTAGAGCAGGGAAGATCTATTTGGAGCCAATATTATACTTTCCACCTCACTGAATTCTAGATCTTTGCGTCTCTGGAATTTGATTTAATTTGATATATAAACCATGACACCTCCTCCTTTTTATCCAATTTGATCTCTTCTTTCAAACTCAAAACCATTGATGTGTAGGCAATCACCATCATCAGTTTCCGAAAGAAATGTTTCACGAATACCTAGAATATCTACGGATCGTTTCTCCTGCAAAGTTAGTTTCAGATCTTCTAGTTTAGGTTTCAGGTGTTGCAGATTTAGATTGGCTTTTCTTAAGCCGTTCTTTACAAGTCCAAATGTAGTCTCATCATTATGATTATTACTCAGGGGAACTGAATATGGATTTGAAATAGGTTCACTAGATTTGTAGCATTAGTTCTCACACACATCTTGATTTTCAGTTGTGACAGTAGAAGATATTTGGTTATGATCAGGACATGATGAATGATGAGACTGTTGTAATTAATATGAGCCATTAGTATCATAGTTGAAAGCAGGATGAGTGATTTTATCGCTATTAAGTATTATAGATAATACAAAGCATGTAAAAGTTAGATAAAAGTAAAATGATGTATACTTATCAACATCAGACAAAACATAAGAATCTATATGTACTTGTGTGGCCTCAAGGGAAACTTTCATATGGTTATCTAATGTCAAAATACATTTACAACATGTACAGTGATCATTTTGACAAGTGTCACATATCTTGATTGTGTGAAGAATGTCAAATATGTTTCTTTTGGCAAAGTTCAAGGAGGAATCACTATGTATCCGAGTGATGGCTTTGTCTTCTTTGCCACCCCTTCATTGATATAGTTTACAAAATTTCTCCCTGTGTCCATATTTGCCACAGTCATGGCAGAGCACATCTTTGCCATGTCTGCATGCTCTGGTAATGTGGTTTGGTTCACCACAATAACCACAGTATTGTTCCTTTTCTTGTGTGAAATGGGAATTGCCTCCATGATATGATTCATTGGGTGCTGGTTTGTGAAAGTTAAAGCTGCTTGTTCTCTTTACCTGCTTGAGAATATGTATATACTCATTGATGTTCCTCAATAACACACCAGTCCCTGTGTTTGTATGGTGAATCCTATCCCTGTGGAAGTGTGTTTTGCTGGTTATATTAATTAAAAGTTGCCTGATGAACTGAATGCTGTTTGCTTCACACAGATCCTCTAGTAGGTGATTTAGGGGCACGACCTCCACTTCCATTCGTGGTGGTATCCCTGACACATGTATGTCAGCATGGCTCTGATGCATCGGCATGGACAGGAGATGATCATAGTCTGTTTCAATATTGTGCAGACTGTGTCCACTACTAAGGTCATTTCCTCCTACAAGAATAATAATGTCCTTGTACTGGTTTAGGTCCAATACTTGTACAGGGTTTGTAATGGTAGATATTTGGGCTCCTCTCAGTGTCCTTATATCTGTGTTTTAAATGCCACGTGTCTGTATTCCTTTTAACAGTGATGAACCAATTATCAGTGTTGTGTTTTTTGACCTGTAGCTCTCCTTTTTCCAGGAAGCAGTTTCCTCCGTGCATTGTTGATCCTGCACGTTAAAGGTCTCATTAGGAGCTAAGTCCTCTGTACTGGACACATCACTGACTGTAAGTGAAGGTGATGTTTTGAATATCTACAAGTCCTCTAAGATAATTTTAAGGAGGTTTTTAAAATGTGTAAAAAACGTTAATGTGAAATCTAAGTCCTTAATACCTAGAAAAGCTAAAATTGGTCTCTAGCATACCTAGAATAGCTAAAATTGGCCACTAGCATATCTAGAATAGCTAAAATTGGCATGTAGCATGCATAGAATAGCTAAAATTGGCCTCTAGCATGCTGGGATAAATTAATTTTACCAACTATGAAAAGGTATTAGTAAAATACGAAAGCTAACCGAGATCTAAAGGCCCTGGGTGAAGGGTTAATGATATTTAATCTATGATGTTAGCTTTCCGGCTATCAAGTTTGTTGAAATGAATTGTATTTGATAATTGGGTGCACTACAAGAGGTGTTTGCTAACTGTATTAAATAAGAGGTGAGCAATACTGGCCATTGGGCCTCATTTTGTTTCAATGGCTCTTAAAACCTGAGTACCTGGTAACCTTAGTTAATGATAATTTTAAAAAACATCATAAAAACCATAGGGTCTAGAGCCATGACACTAATGCTGGTTATGTAGAACAGTAGTGCAAATATTTTTTCTAATATTAAAACTGCGCCAAGATTAAAGGCAAACTTTGAGTGGTGGTTTGGATTAAAGGCAAACACAGGCTATATAATGGGTAAAAAAATCTTTAAATATCTCAAGTTCAGTAAGACCAGGCCAATGGTCATGATGTTTAGCCAGTAGGTTTTTTGGATGGAGTACTGTTGGTTCCTCACATAAATGACCTTGACCTATTTCCTGGATAAAAATATATTGCTTTGATTGCTCAAATATCCAGGTGAGTGATACAGGCCCTTTCGATCTCTTGTATTTTCAGATTACTGGAAGAAGCCTATATAAAGAAGGACCCTTTTTCTTCTGATTGTGGAATTATCACACTTGGCTCTCACTGTCACCATTGTAAGCTGTCTGTCTGTTGCTCAACGGTAGGTAAACTAACAATATGAAGGAAATAGTATAATTTTAGTAAAATATTAAGTGGATTGATAAGTAATAGTTCAAGTGAGATTAAGTGAGATGAGATGGTGTGTGTGTGGGGGGGTGGGGGCAAGTGGTTGAGTCGTCTGATATTCTGCTACCACGAGCCCTCAACCACTGGGTCGCTGGTTCAAGACCTAATCGGGGCAGTCACCGAGAACTGCGGCTTTCCATCACCACCAAAACCTGGCATGTCCTTAAATGACCAAAGCTGTTAATAGGATGTAAATCGCAAACAAACCAAAGAAATGGTGGGGTGGGGGCTGAGTATAAAAGGTTTCGTGCGATGGATTGAGTTGTTCGATAACAGTTCAATAATTTTCAATAACTTTGTAATTTATATATGTAACTATTCAAACTTTGTTGTTTTTATTTCATGCCCTACCACAAAGTAGTTTGGGGCATATGGTGTTATGAGTTTCCAATGTATATTAACAGTTTTTGGCAGTGGTACAGAGACTTCTTAAGTTGTCAAAGTGTGATACTACTTAGTCTGGTCTGAGGATTAAAGTTCAATCATTCAGAAAACACATACCTTTTATTGATGTTACAGTACTATGTTTATAATCGTACTTAATGCTCGATAAATGTCTAGTAAATACAGTTATTATATAATAACAATACAATTTATATCATCTATAATAAAACAATTGCACCATTTCAAAACACAAGTTACACAACAGCTTATCACCCTATTTTATTACACACACTTAGTGAAATTAAATTAAACTTTTGTTTTTCCCGCTTTTTCAGAGTTGTAGCATATTTTACACAAAAAGATTCTGCCTTGATTGTGTTGAGAAGAACATAAACGAGCTTCCCATGGAAATCCGACAGGTAAGTCACCAGTAGATCTGAGAACGATTTATCATACTTACATTTCTTGTATTAAGACTATTGGGTGTAAACTATAATGATTTACACCTTATAAAACTACTTAATAATGTCAACCATAGATGATCCTTTTCTTACTCCTATATATATATTTAAAAAATATATGATGACGTCATATAACCAACGGTGATAAATAAACATCAATCCGCCTGAAGAAGCCCTAGAAGGCAGAAAGGCCTAGCTGACGATCTGAAAGATTTATGTTTTTATTTTATGTTTTCCTTCCCAAGGACTTATTTATTATATATATATCCACAGCAAGAAAAATACCTAATCCAATGACCCTTGGTCAGTAGACACGCTCTGTGGGCAAATGAAAACTAATGTCTACTTATGATAAGTCTTATCCAATGGATCAGTGCTAAATTTCTTTTAAATATTACTATATTCACTGCATACTGTATAAGTACTCAGCAAATAAGCAATGGACTCATAAAGAGCTGTTTTCTGTTAAAAGACCATAATATTATGAAGGATAATTTTGTGAAATATACCTGTGTGTATAGGATATATTTTGCACCGAGATATATTATACAAATGGGCAAGTACTTGTTTATATCCACTTGCCTGAAAGCCCAGTGCTTTTAAAAACTTTGTTGTTACCCTGATATATGTCACCAAACACTAAATCAAACACAAGGGGTTTAATAAGATGGTTGGTAATGCAGCTATTGCCACAGGTTTTACTGTAGGTTCAATTCCTGCACGCATCAGTTGTTGTTGTGTCCCTTGTTATCTGGACTGACTAAATACACCCCTCACAAACAAAGTTTGAGAGGGTATATATGAATCACTCTGTCCGTCCTTCTGTTCATGAACCTCAAGCGCAACACCTCCTAAACTGTTTTTTATTTTTTCATAGCTTGGCACAGTGAAAGGTAAGGAGGCACGGTAGTCCAGTGGTAGGACGCCGAGCTCGTGACCGAAGGGTTGCGGGTTCGCGCCACGGCACGGCAATGTGTTGTATCTTTGAGTAAGATACTTTACTCCGCTTGTTCCAGTCTACTCAGCTGTAAATGAGTACGTGGTTGGGCAGTGCTAGAATTGTTGAATGCTAGCTGTTAGCGCCGAAATGGCAGCCCCGGCTGTATGCTCCCCAGGGAGTTGAGAAATTTATTGGCTGGTTGCAAAGGCCCTATAACAACGAATAATAATTTGTGAACCGCTTTGAGACGACCTACGAACTAGGTTGTGATAAAGCGGTATATAAGAACCTCCAATTATTACTATTATTATTATTAAATCATCTGCAGATGTGCATGAAGAAATGAATTGGCAATTCAACTATTTTTTTCTGGAGTCATGGCCCTTTAAACTTTAATTTCTACTCCAGAAACTTTGTAAATATAACTCCTCCTAACCATTTGTTGAATATTTTTGTAACTTGGCACTGGGAAAGAACACCATATGTAGATGTGCATGAAGGAGAGATTTGTGATCTGGTTATTATATCTTTTGCAAACAAATTTTGAATACATAGATAAAATGAAATGTCTCACAGCTTGTCTAGTCTAGATTTAATAGGCTTGCAAATCTAAATAAATCGAAACAGTTATATTTAGGTATTTGTGCATGAAACAGACATTTAATTTCAGAAAGGAGCAGCATTTAGGTGTGTGAATAAAAACATTGTAAATTTACTGAACAAGACAGTAATTATGTGATATTTTTGAACTGATGACATTGAATTAAAACTACCCTGAATCTAAGTGAAACATTTTTTTAGGTTGTAGTGAAGGGAAGCAACTCTTGCATTACTATAGAACTGTCCTATTTTGGAACTTCAACAAGAGTTATTGCTCTTTGTACTGCACATATTGTTTCTTCAAAGCTTAAGGCTGAATAAAAAGACAGTCTGATTTGGACATCCTGGCTTAATTATTCAAACCTTAATGATTTGATATATTGTTTTTCTTGAAATTTTAAAACTTACAGAAAACAAAATTTCAAAGCATACAGTCTACATTATGACTGTCATCACGCTGTTATTTGTAAGGTTTGTGTTAAGATAACATTTTACTATAGCCTTACCTGTCCTCAGGGGGCGGGGATGGGGGGACTACAGGTTTGCACTCCGTCCGTCCTTCCGTACAAATTCTGTAAATAGTTACAGTTACAATATGGTTCCCATAGAATGGAGGGTTAACAGTTACAAGACTGCATCTTACGGCTTAAGTTTTACTTGGTTGTCCCCGTGGAATGGGGGGCTAATCATGGATGATATATTGGTCAATTTTCCTCTCCAGATTTGGCTTTATCTTCCCCTATTTCAGTTTAAAATTTCCACACTTGTAACCAAATACTACCACAAAAGTATCTGTCTTGGTTCCATTTTGTTTTTCTTTTCCGTCAGTTCCACGACAGAGTGATTTATTTCATTTTCCCTGTGTTCATGTGAATCGTTAATGCTACTGTTTACAGCTAGCCCTGTTTATAGTATACAATGTCTTAACAGTCACACAAACATGAATTTATTCTAATGCCTATCCAGTGGTCAATTTGAAGCGTCTATAATAAATAACCCTCACTGGACAGGTCAGACATGCACCTACAGCACATAGTTTACCTATTTCGAAAAAAGGGTACTAACTTTCATTTCCTGCATTTATACCTGCTTATAAATACAAATTTACAGCTTACGCCTTTATTTTTACGTGGTGGTCCTCGTGGAATGGGGGGCTTATAGTTACAAGTCTACAGCTTACGCCTTAAGCTTTACGTGGCGGTCCCTGTGGAATGGGGGCTTAAGGACTTCCCACCCTTCGTAAAACACATGTTTTTCTTGTCGTATTTTCGTGTCGTCATTTCCGTATTGCGAATCGGTCATTCCTTTAACGTAGTGTAAATTATAGTAACACCAGGTAAACAATGGTACATGTGCATGATGATAATATGTCAACACCCGTTATCGAGACTTAACTTGGAAATGTGCAATCACACGTTCTTCATAAATAAAGCTTATGATACAAAGACATTAATTAACTCACGGGAAAACACTGACATTAGATCAGACGACTTCAAGAAGGTCGTATATGAGGCGCATGGAATTCAGACTGATGCATTTTGTTTTCTAACCTCACCTGTACATATGTGCACGTGCTAATAGTAGTGGTCGCTACGACTTTTGTTGTCGAGCGAGTTACGCTCTGTCAGATAAATCATTTCACAAATGCAGAGCTATTGTAATATCAAGATAATATCCCTATAAAATGCAAGTGCATGTGCTTGCACTTGGTAAAGGCATACCATGCGATAGCCTATGGTTACATATGCACATGACATGTAAATATACAATGCGTATGCAGGCAATGAAATTATGTTCAAAGTGTACATGATTGAGAGTAATTTTGTTCCATAAAAGAACAGTAAATTGACAATTTAATATAGTAATTTAATTGAATTCCATCGTTTTTGGTATAGTAAAGAAAATAACTGTCACTGTATAAATTATATCCCTCTGCAAAAAGTTCCGATTTTTTTAAAGGTAGACAACTCTCATCAGGATTTGAATTAATGAAAAATAAATTAATTATAAAGACTTTGTGTGTATTTGGTTCAATTTATCACTCTTTTTGTATGAAACTATGTGTCCTATTTGCCTTTAGCTTATTAGCTCACCTGGTCCGAAGGACCAAGGTGAGCTTATGCCATACCGTGGCGTCCGTCGTCCGCCCGTCGTCCGTACGTCAACAATTTCTTTAAACGACTTCTTCTTTCTAACCACTGGTTGGAATTAAACTAAATTTGACTGGAAGCATCCCTAGGTGGTGGAGATTCAAAATTATACAAATAATGGGGCTGACCCCCCAGGGGGCTGAGGGGCGGGGCCAAAAGGGGTCAATTTGCCCATATTGCTTTAAGCGACTTCTTCTCTGGAACTAAGAAGTGGATATCAACCATATTTGACTGGAAGCATCCCTAGGTGGTGGTGATTCAAAATTGTACAAATGGTGGGGCTGACTCCCCAGGGGGCTAAGGGGCGGGGCCAAAAGGGGGCAATTTGGCTATATTGCTACAAACGACTTCTTCTGTAGAACTGTGCACTGGATATCAATCATATTTGATCAAAAGCATTCCTGGGAGGCAGGGATTTAAAATTGTACAAATGGTGTGGCTGACCCCCCAGGGGGCTGAGGGGCAGGGCCAAAAAGGGTATTTGGCTATACTGCTTTAAGTGACTTCTTCTCTGGAACTAAGTGATGGATATCAACCTTATTTGACTGGAAGCATCTCTAGGTGGTGGAGATTCAAAATTGTACAAACGGTTGGGCTGACCCCCCAGGGGGCTGAGGGGCGGGGCCAAAAGGGGGCAATTTGGTTATATTGCTATAAATGACTTCTTCTGCAGAACTATGCCATGGATATTGATCATATTTGGTCGGAAGTATTCATGGGAGGCAGGGATTCAAAATTGTACAAATGGTGGGGCTGACCCCCCGGGCTAAGGGGTGGGGCCAATAAAATGTATTACTTGGAAATGGTTGAGATCCCCACCATATAACCATATATACAATTGCTGAGTATAAAGAGAAGAATGCACATTTGCTTCCAGGATGTCCCTAGGGTCTGGCCCCACCCTTGGAGACATAGTCCCTGGGCCATAACTTTAAAACGGTTGAGATCCCCACCCCAAAACTATATATACAAATGCTGGGCATAAAGAGACGAATGCAATCATGATATCAGAATAGACCCTGGGGTCTGACCGAACCCCTAGGGACCTAGTTTCTTAGTCACAGCTTGGAAACAGTTGAGAGCCCCACCCTATAACCGTATATATACAATTGCTGAGTATAAAGAGATGATTGCACATATGCTTCCAGGTTGGCCTTGGGGACTGCCCCACCCTTGGAGACTTAACCCCTGGGTCATAACTTTGAAATGGTTAATATCCCCACCCCAAAACTATATATACAATTGTTGGGCATAAAGAGACGAATGCAGTCATGACATTAGAATTGATCCCAGGGTCTGCCCCACCCTTGCAGACTTGGCCCCTGGGTCATAACTTTGAAACGGTTGAGATCCCCACCCCAAAACTATATATACAAATGCTTGGCAAAAAGAGACAAATGCAGTCACGATATTAGAATCGATCCTGGGGTCTGGCCACAACTCTAGGGACCTAGTTTCTGAGTCAAAGCTTGGAAACAGTTGAGATCCCCACCCCATAACCATACATAAAATTGCTGGGCATGAAAAATCTAATATAGCTATGCTACAAGGATTGACCTTGGGGTCTGGCATATTCCCTTGATCTCATTTGGAGAATATTTTGCCATGATTGCTTAGGTATCCATGTGAGCGATACAGGCCCTCTGGGCCTCTTGTATATAATAACTTGCATCCATACAATTTCCTCCTTAAAGTTCCAAGTGTCCAGCTTAAGGCTTTAGTTTTACGTGGTTTACCTTGATGAAGTTTTGGGATGTTACTTGTACATGTACCATTTAAGTAACATGTCTACATCTTATACTAGTTACAGTTGTATTTTTACACCATTGCGGGGAAAACATGTCTCCAAAGGTTTTCTAGTTCTTAAGAATATGAATGGATAGGTTAAATAATAAGGTTTAAGGAACACAGGGTATTCTAGTAATGGCAGTTCGAGTAATGAGAGTTTAATTAACAAAGAATACAGAAGAACACTGTAGGGATCAAGCAAACACTTTGAGGAATCGGGGTACTTGAGTAATGAGAGTGTGGGGTTTCACTGTATATGTAATTTCATGTGTCTTTTTAGCTCTGTAAACATTAGTCTGTAGAGCAGTGCATCAAAATTCTTGTTAATGTCTGCTTAACTATGAATCAGATTGAAGGTAATTGATCAACTGGTTTCTATTAAGTTTAGGTCGTATTGTTTAGAGGATTTGGATTG